GATAAGTATACAAGAAGCTGAACAAACCCCAAACAGGATAGATCCCAAAAGAAAATCACCAACATATGATATAATCAACTTTCCAAAACCAAAGACAAATAAAGAATCCTGAGAGCTGCTCGGGAAAAATGAAAAGTTTCCTACAAAGGAGAACCAGTTAAGACTAAGCTCTGATTTTTCAGCAGAAATCATGAAGGTAAGAAAGCAATGGAACGACATATACAAAACTCTGAAAAAAAAACAACTGTCAACCAAGAATCCTATACCTTGCAAAGGTGTCCCTCAAATATAATGGCAAAATTAGGACATTTCCTGATAAACAGAAATTAAAGGAATTTTTAATGACCAGACCAACTTTACAAAAAATGCTAAAGGATATTCTTTGGATTGAGAACCAATAACAGCAGCCAACAACCTGAGATTTTCATACATGACAACACCAACCAGAACTCAATCCAGATATAGAAGTATTTAAAGTACAACAGGAGTCCTGGTATGGTGCAGTGGGTTAATGCGTTGAACTGTACAGTTGGTCTGAACCACAAGGTTGGCAGTTCCAGCTCGCCAGCTACACCTCGAAAACCCTATACAGGGTCACTATGGGTAGGAACCAACTTGACAGCACTTAACAACAAAGTAAAACAAACCTATAAGACTGAAAATAGGGAACCAGAGATACCAATGTATAATGATGCTCCTCGGAAACCCTATACAGGGTCGCTATGGGTCGGAATCGACTTGACGGTACTTAACAACAACAACAACAAAGCAAAAAGAGGGAACAGTGTAGATACAGAACTTCCAAATGGTAAGGAATTCACATAGATTTCAAGATAAAACAGACTGTTTTAAGCTGGGGAAAACGTTAATAGATTACATGGTAACCTCGAAGAAAAACAATACACCTGCACATCAAAATTAAAAAAGAGGAACATCAGAAACACTTAGTAAACATTAACAGAAATGAAAATGAAAAGAAAACCCACAAACAAAATGAACTCAGCATAGAAAATTATGTGGAACAAAGAATCCAGCAGCAACACACAAACAAAAAAAAATGACAGCAATCAACTTATACCTACAGATAATTACACTGAACGCAAATGGGTTGAATGTACTAATAAGAGACATAAAGAGCGAAATGGAAAAGAAAACAGGACCCTTCAATATGCTGTCTACAAGAGACTTATTAAAAAGATGGAGACAGCCTAAATGTCTATCAATGGAAGAATGGACGAACAAACTTAGGTACATACACACAATGGAATACTATAAAATGCTGAAGAATAATGATGAATCTGTGAAACACCTCCTAACGTGGTTGAATCTGGAGGACATTATGCAGAGTGGAATGACTCAACCACAAAAGGACAAATATTGAATGATACCAATGTTGTAAAAAGTTGAAAAAAAATTAAAAGGTTTGCCTGATAAAAGAACCAGTCTATGATGGTTATGGCTCTGGGGAAGGCAGAGAAGGAAAATTTACAGGCTAGAGGGTAGACACATGTTCATATGGGTGACAGGGCAGGCCATATACAACACGAGGGAGGTTAGCAGAGGTAAAGATGAAGGTAACGAGAAACACAGGGAGGGATGCAAGAGTTAAAGTGAATAGAGGTAAATGCTGTGAACTGTTGCTATCTGTGGAGGGATTACAATCATTGTACTGAAACAAAGTATTATTACTTGTTGAATGTAAATCTGAAGATCTTCTCTTTAAACTTTTACTCAATTCACGAGAAAAAGTGTTTTTTTAAAAAAGTGTTTATAAACAAAAAGGAATGAAGGGCACATATGATCAGAGGAAGGAATAACTGGCAAATACTTAAGGGTTTTTAAAATTCATGTATTTCTATCAGAGAGATTCTTGGCAGGGAATTCCCCCTCCATCACTGGCCAGGTTCCCCCACTGAACACGCACCAAGGTGTATTATTTCAGTGTGGGTTTCAGCCTTTAGAGAGGGCCAGCCAAACATTTAGCACATTCGTGGGAAGGGAGTATGTTCAGAAGAGGGTTGGTAGACAGAACAATCTGAGGCTTCAATGTACTAGAATCTTCAATAGAGTCCAAAGGAAAGTGAAGTGCTTGGGGGAGTAGCAAGGCTGGAAGAATCATCACATGACCTAGTAATTTCACTCCTAGATGCCTGCTCAGGAGAAGGAAAGCATCCCACTCAAAGATTTGTATGCCACTGTTCACAGCAGCATTATTCACAATAAAGAGCTAAAAGCTGCACGTCCATCAGCTGATGAGTGATAAATAAAACGTGGTCTAGCCGCAGAATGTGATGCTACTTGGCAATCAGTGAAGTGCTGATACATGCTATGACTTAGGTGGACCTTGAAAATAAAATGCTAAGTGACAGAAGTCAGTGTGTGTGTTCCATTGATAGGAAATGTCCGGAAAAGGAAAATCTACAGAGAAAGAAAGTATATCAGTGGGAGCCTAGGGAATGCAGAGTAACTGTACATGGGCAGGAGGCTGCCTCTTGGGGTGAAAGAAATGTTCTAAAACTAGACTGTAGTGATGGCTGCATGGGGGTGTGGGTGTGCCGTGGAGTCGGTTCCGACCCATAGAGACCCTGTATAGGGTTTCCGAGGCTGTAAATCTTTACGGGAGCAGAAAGCCTCATCTTTCTCCCTCAGAATGGCTGATAGATTTGAACTGCTGACCTTGAAATTCACAGCCCCACTCATAACCCATGACTACCAGAATTCCTAATACATAACTCTGTAAATGTATTAAAAAAACAGTGATCTGTACTGAGAACAGGTGATTTTTACAGTATGGCACCCCACCAAAGCTGTTAATAATAATTTCAAAGAGAGAGAGAGAGAGAGAAAGCGATGGAAGGATGCGAAAGATGATTCAAGGAGTACCCGATTTTAACATTCCTGATGTGGGATGAAACTCTGGGGGTGGGCGGCTGGGTGATGGATGAGGAACCAGGCTGCTTTCATGCTCTCCCACCACAATCATTCACGTACTCGGCTCCCATGATGCACTGTGAGCCCTTGAAGGCTCACGCCCCAGCACGCATGTCCGTGAACTTCCACATGTCTGAGATAACCCAGCACTTGGCAGGCACTAGAAAACGTCTGGTAGGAGAAGACAGCGAAACTTTTCAAAACATCTTCTTCCAGCCATAGCAGACTCGAGCAGGGCAGTGGAGTGGATAAGAGATCTACTCTCAAGCTCTGCTTTCGAAAGTCATCCAGCCTCCTGTCTGCTGGGAGAGAGCATCTTCCTCTTTGGGTTGCTATGGCAACTGCATTGATTGAAAGGTGCCCTGGTGGCACAGTGGTTATGCACTTGGCTGCTAACCAAAAGGTCAGTGGTTCAAAACCCCCAGCCACTCTGTAGGAGACAGATGTGGCAGTCTGCTGCTGTGGAAACCCTATGGGGAACCTCTACTCCATCCAATAAGATCACTGTGTTGGAATCTACTGGACGGCAGTGGCTTGGTTTTTCAGACTGCTTTTATAGAGGGCGCCATTGCACGATCTATTCACCTGAGGCTGAACTTCTGCAAGGCCCCAAGGACATTCTCCCGGGTAATGACGTCCTTGTTTTCCTCCCTCAGCCGTCCCTCCAGGATCCGCAGCACCGTTGTGTTCTGGGTGAGGTAGAGACGACCTGACAACGTAACCAGAGATGAAACAGGACTCAGGCAAGTGACAGAGGGAAAGAGTTTCTCTTGTAATGAATTAAAAGTTCATGCTCTAATACATACTTCCTACAAAAACTTTGTCTGCATGGAACACCTATAGAATTTGGATCATTTCTTGGTCTAAAAAAAGTTATTAAGGTATTTCTTCTACAAAGTTGGTTTTAGTCAATCAGCTATGGAATGACTAGCAGACCACTCTTCTGACTCATCTAAACGTAATTCATCAGCAAGAGTGGGTGGAGAGCGGCCTCTCCACTGACCTGCAATCTTGACCCCAACTGTCAGATGTAAGAGGGAAACAGGAGAGGAAGAAACGTGTGTGTGTATGTGTGTGTGTGTGTGTGTGTATGTGTGGTGAGCCCCTCTGCCTGTAGGCAGCCAGGAGAAGAGGTTGGGCACCACAATGGGGCCCTACAATAAGCCCTGGATTGTCACTAGTCTCTTGTGGCCCTTCCCATGATACAGAAGGCATTAATTTGAAAGCTCCCTTTATTTACATTACAAAGAGCTCAAATCAGAATGTCTGGGAGACAATGACACTTTGTAGACGTTTGGGCATATGCTCTCTTTGGAATTTTCAAGTTCTCCTTGACTTATGAGGTCTTTTGAAGAAAACAACGCAGTTCTTGCTAGAAACAGCTTGCGATGCTTGCCTAACCTTTCAGCTTAAGTAGAAAATTGAAGAAATGAGTAGGCTCTGTGCCCTTACAAGCCATCTAAAAAGGATGGTTACAAAACCAGAACACTTACAAAATAAAAGCAGAAGAGAAAGCTTGCAAAATAAACTCCCAAGCCCTCAAAATTACTCCGACACAAACTAAAGCAATATGAAAATTGTCACAGAAGCTGCACCAGACCCATGAAAGCTGCGTTCCAGATGGAGGCAGCAGGCGTCATCACTTAGACACGTGAAGAGAAAGATGGTTTCAAAGGGAAGCACGTGAATGCTTCACTAAGACCCCGCTCTACTCTCTAGAGAAAACCTTCTGGCTTACCTTGGGCAAGTGACGCGAAGGCATTGATGAGCCGGGCCATGTACTGGCGCACTGCCTCGCTCTGTGAGTGTAGCAGCTGAAGCACGCTCCTCTGTAAGAAAGGCACCGGGCAGACGGTGAGGTAGAGACATGGGACACAGGCCACCTCCACAGGTCAGGTGCGCCTGTGTGAATGCGCCAGATGTGAATGACACAGATGAGAGCAAACGCTTCATCTGGACATCCTGATTCTCAACTGGAACTTGATGACATCGGACGAACAAATGATGCGGACTTGCACGTGAGTTCACGATGCAAAGCACTGAGAATGGTTACAGAGGAGAGGAAGACTCGGCCTTGTCTGCTGCTCCTTCAGGTCGGGAGCAGATCTAGCACTGCATCTGATTTCCCTCCCAAACCACAGTCACTCGACAGAAAGTGGATCTCCTTAACTTCTTACTGGGAATGGTGTAAAGGTTTACACAGCAAGGTGGATTCTCATTCAACAGTCCATAGACAGTTTTTTTTCACATCACTGATTATGATCCCACAATGTAACACAGTACTCTTCCCCCACTTCCTCCCTGTGTTTCCTGTTTCCAGTCCTTTTTTCCTAAGCCTTCATGCCTTCTGACCTTTGTCCTTGGGCAACTGTTGCCTTCTAGATCTCAAAAGGTGTCCTGGGGTGGCGCTGTAGGATAAGCACTTGACTGCAATGTTGGTTTGAACCACAAGGTCGGCGTTTCAAACCCAACAGCTGCTCCTGGGAAACCCTATATGGAGGTCACTATGTGTTGGAGCCGAATTGACAGCACTTAACAATAACAGATCTCAAATGGTTACTTTTTCTAAGGAGTGCGTATCCTCCTAGTATTACTGCTACTGGTATGGTACAGTAAGCACTGGACTGCTAAACACAAGGTAGGCAGTTCCAACCCACCAGCTGCTCCTTGGAAACCATATACAGGGTCGCTATGAGTCAGAACGGACTCGATGGTATTTAACAATAACAAATCCAGGACAAGGCACCCTCGTGGCACAGTGGGTTAAACATTGAGCTACTAACCCCCAGGTCAGTGGTTCAAATCCACCAGCCACTCCTCAGGAGAAAGATGAGACGGTCTGCTCCAGCAAAGAATGACAGTCTCAGACACCCTATGGGACATCCCTACTTGATCTGATAGGGTAACTATGCATTGGAATCAACTCAATGGTAGTAGGTTTTTTCTATCCAGGACCATTTAATAGGATTCCTTTGCAAGCGGAGTCAGAGATAGCCATAAATGGATTATATATATCTCAAAGGCAGAGAGAACAGTACAAGAAATTAAGGAAACACAATTTTGGAACCTGAAAAGCAGGAATGTGAGAACAAACAAGATGGCGGATCGGGTGGCCGTATAGCAGAGAGCTCCGCCAACAACA